ATTTAAGCCATCCCCACAACAAACCTTTGAGAAGAAATTCTTGGAAATGAGGAGTGTCAGAAACATTCACCAAGGGGCCAGGTACAAAATGGCACAAGCACTGGTACCGAAGCCAGTTCCCTGCAAAGCACCTGAGCCCAGCTCTGCCTGCAGCACAACCTCACTGTTCAGATGAGGAGCATTGTGGTACCTATTTTCCAGCAGATGAATTTTCATCTTTTCAGAGGAAGGAATTCGCTTGGGCAAATTAAAAGTAAGGGTGTTCAGAGAGTTGGGGAATATCAAGCAGGACCTGGTGGCAGATGCCTTCTGGGGACTGCTCTGGACCCTGCAGATTTGGGTGCTGCCTCCCAAGCTGATGCTCTCACTCCCGGGCAGGAGCATCTCCATCCAGCCCAGGGCACTGTGGCTGCACTAAGGGGAGGGAGAGGGTGGGAAGGAGGGCAAGAGAAATAAGGACAGGGCCAGCGTGTTTATTTTGGATTCCAATGGAAACAAAAAATTTAGGTCAATGTTTCACCCAAGGGATAATTTTAACAGAGCAAGTGAATTTTTTTGCCTTTAGTTAATTAATCACGAAAGCCTCAGTGGAATTTGTTAGTATACTTTTTATTCAGGCAAGGCCAACATTTTAAGAAATTTCATCTATTTGTATTACAACAAAGAGACTGGCTGCATTGACTCACGCTGCTACAGGTTTGCATTTCAGCAGAGGGGAAAATTAGGCATGTGAAAGTGTGGTCCCTTCCTTGAGTATCAGCTTCTTTCACAAGCACTTCGTTCAATATACAAAGTGACTAACATTTGTAAATCACATCAATCAAGGGATCTGCAATAGCAAACCTGAAGAGAGAACCTACCTGTTGGCTCATGTGTAGCCTTCAAATCTGAGTGTCCCTACACCCTCACAGCTAAGCCTCCTCTTATGCTAGTGGGGAGCCAGTGAGCTTTAGTCTGGCAAGATGTTAAAATATCGGGAAATGGCAAACTTCTTTCACAGCTTACTCACATTAGCACATTTGCTGAAGTCTCTACAATGACCTTTTCCACCCAGAATGGAGGTGCAAACCCACTGCAGAGTTTTATCCTTGCGGTTGGATATGCCACACAAGCAGGCACATAGGAAATGCTCAATTCTGTGGCATTATTTTATCTCATAAAAATAACACTTAAAAAAATCTGTACTGGCCCTCTAAAGGACATCTGGTGGAATATCTGTGTGCTGAGCATCTGATGAATGTCTCTGAAAGAGTTATTTTAGCTGTCATGTCACTGGATTGACAGCAGTCTCCCACTAGAAGAGGCCAAGCCAGGCGTCACATACAACACACGCTTCAGGGACCGAGCTCAGGCAGAACCCAGATTATCGCAGGATGGTGTTAAACAACAGGCTACTGGGAAGTACCAGCCCACATACAGCACCCGCCTTTTGCCAGTCAAAATGTGAGACGGGACAGGGATGCAAACCAAGGCTCTCTGCTTCCTTGGCAGTGGAGTGAAAGCCCGGATGGGTTAGGAGAAGGCAGCACTTGCTCCTCCATCTCCAGCTGGGCCGCTCCAGGGAAATGCAAACAGCAAGGTCAGTGCGCTAGCTCTGAACTGAAGCTCGGTTGGATGAAGTGAAGAACTCTCCTGGACTGCAAGTTGCATCAGGAACAAGCAGTCCCACAGGTTTTCTTCTCTAAGTTTGAGAAGCACACATGTATTTATTAATCATTTTGATCCTGGAAGCCCTCAGTGCGGACCATGTTTCTGCTGTGAATCTGCAGAGCAAAGCCCTTACAGTCCTGCCCCAAAGATCTTACTGTCCCAGAATAAAACAGGCAATCAAGCATGGGGTTCAGACAGAGAAATACAAGGAGAGTATCTTGATGGCACTTCCACAGCTTGGGCCCTGGAACAGATCATTCACGCTAAGTTTTGTGTTGGGAAGGACAAGGGAGTAGCCGTCAAGGATAAATGAAGCAAGTGTGAAATCTGGACATGATTACACTTGGCATAATCTGATTGAAAACAAATATTCCTTACTGTGTATTTGAAGTCAGCATTGGTCCTGTATCCATATGAGCATGGAGAAAGGGGGAGTGAGGACAAAAGGGCATAAACCAAAAAGAGCTGAATACAAAAATATCCAACAGACTATAGAAAAAAGACTACTCAAATATGAATTGCTCATCCTCAACTAAGTTCATTTCCATTGTTAAAAATACTCTTGTGAGCACACGGAGGTTACCCCGCTCCTGTCATACTTGTGGTGGCTCACACGCATCGTAACACAGAGGGCAACTGCAGCGCATGTGAAATGGATGCTGTGACAGGTCACTGGTGATTTATACTGCACCACTCACAGAAGTGATTGCCATAGTACCCAGACATCGCCTGGCTCTGACATGCTGCACTAATGCTAAATTTCTCACCAAGATCCAGTGGGAGTCAAAGACACCGAACACACAAGCCATTCACAAAAAAAGCCTTGGGATGGAGTTAAATTCCCATCTACAGACAAAAAAAAAAAAAAAAAGAAGGGCAAGTATTTTGTGGTTACTTTAAAACCTAGATAGAACAAATAATTCAGCACCATAAAGAACAAGCGCTACGTAACATACATCTGCCTTTACCAGGAACACGTTTTCTACGGGCTCTTTCCAAAATGGCAAACATTGTTGTCTGCCCTTCCACCCACATATACTCCTTTTTAACCGGGAAAAAGTCTAACGTTGTGCTCTACTTTTTGTCTCATCCCCCCAGAACATTTCGCCCACCGCACACAATGGCAAATGACAGGCGCAGAGACTTGATTCCGGCTGGGAAGCGGCGTGTCCCTCCCTGCCCGCACAGGGATGCGCCGCTGCTTTTCGGTACCAAAGTTTTGAACACACCCCCCGCACGCCCACAGCAGCTCCGGGCTTTGGGCGGGGAGCAGGAGAGGAGCCGACCCCATTGTGCAGCATCTTCGGGAGCCCTTTGTTAGCAGCGCTGGCTGCCTGGTCGTGCCCTGCTGTGCGGGGACCGCGCCGGGGCACAACGCGCTGCCCGCACCTCCTGCCCACGGCGTGACAGCTCACGGGGGGGGTGGGTGGTGGGTGGTGGGAGTGGAAACGCCCCGGCGAGCGAGCTGAGGCCGTTGCCTCGCCCGAAAGGAGACGGATCTGCTTTCTTCAGGCTTGTCGGCTGACTTGGGATGGTGACAAAGAGGCTCAGGAAAGCACAAACTCTCGAACAGCCCCCGGGGCTGCCACGCTGGGGAAAAGTTTGCCCGTCTGCAGCCTGTGAAGCGCGGCGCAAAAATCGGGTGCGACGCACAAGACGCCACCTGCAAAAATCAGTGCGGTGAGCACCCGTGTATCACAGATGGGGTGGGAAACACACCACCGATGCGTGCAGCTGGGAAACAGCCCGTTTCTCCCCTGTACCACAACGCAATACCGGTGCTGTGGGAGCAACGGGTTTGCGGCACGCTTGGCCCCCTGACACAGCACACGGCTTCCTTCGCTCCTCCGGCACTCGCACGCAGAGGCTCTCGCTCCTTCCCCTCCTTTTGGCAGCAAAGCAGCCTGCAAGTCAATCACCTTTCACGAAGGAGGATCACTGCCATGTCTCCCAGCCTTTAAGCCGGGAGGGCAGGAGAGGCACCTATTCATTACCCTGCTCCCACTGCCCGGGTCCCACCTCCCACACAAGTAATCGCAGAGGACAATGCTGGGGACACGCGCGCGTGAGCGCGCACACACGCGCACGCCAAATGAACCCCCCTGGTCTGGCAGAGAAGCGCCTTCCAGTTTACTCGCTAACTCCCCAAAATCAGGACAATCAAAAGATAACGCCCGTTTGTGTAGAGGAAGCACCACCCTCCACCGGCGGGTGACATTTGCATACAGCTGATAACCTGAGCTTTGCCAGAAGACACGGGGGACCTTTTTTTGCAAAACGCTTCGTACGCAGCGCTCTCCCCATCACAAAAACCTGCTTTAGCGCTGGTGTGCGCGGTGTGGGGAGTTGGTTCCCATTGTTCCCCCGCTGCTGCTGCGAAAGCAGCATGCACAGACGTGTGCTCGGAACCTTTCCTGTATTTTCCAGACTCCCCCCTTCCCAAGGTTTCTCCTACTGAGGTGTTCCTCGTTTCCTTGTGGAGAAAATTAAATGAGCACTGGAGAACAATATTTCCTTGCACACATCTCCCTCCACCATGCACTCACACCCCGCACCTCCTGCAAATCAAAGCTGCACTTTCTTACTTCCTAACACTTCTTGGCTCGCACTCCCATTTCTCTTTTCTTTCTTTGCGAATAAGAGATCTGTGTACTGCCGAGCCCTTCTCCACCTCCCGCACAAGTAGCCCCAGAGCATCGCTGTGTCCGTTCCCTCCCTTCCTCCCCTACCCCGGTTCCACACACAACTGGCTTTGCCATTTTTAATTAGAAAATGTGCCTGCCAAGTGCGGCGAGAGAGGTGCAGCCCCAAAGAATCGCAGCCTAATAGAGTTGGAAGATGCTTTGCAGATAACTGCGTTTTCTGCCTTGCTAACTCATCTCCTGCTTTTATTCCTCTACCCAGTAAAGGCAGCCCCTTCCCTTGGTTTCAGCACACAGACCCGAAAAGCTACAGGCGAATTTATCCAGCCGCTGGCGGGATCAGGTGCAGAACTGGGAACTAACCTTACCACCGCGACGGCACACACACTTAAACACCTACTGTGCCCCCTCCTGCCACAATTCTCCTTTATTTTCTCTAGATTTCCATCTTTCCAGTGCTGCCCTTTTTCCCCAAGGCTGCGCAGGGCGCTTCTAACCCCGGTCCCCCCTGCCCATCTGTGGGAAGTGATTCAAAAGCTCACACTGACGAGCAACAACAACAAAATCCTCCGAAAAAAAACCAAATCATGCCTGCGGAGGGTGAGAAAAGTCCGTTAGCACAAGAGAAACGGGCACATTGCTTTGGGATGTGGAGGAAAATCACCCTCGCCCCGGAGCGCAAGGGGAAATAAAGCAAAGCTGACTTACCGGAGACTCGAGGATGCAGGCTTGCCAGCGTAAAACCGAAGAGGAGAAAAGCCAGCTTTGGTACCCAAACACATCCAAGACTATTCTCCATATTTCAACACACACCTACAGATTCGGGTCCTGAGCACCAGCAGCAGCTACACATGCACGCACAGCCCTTTCTGCCTCCTCCTCGCCGGGTGGGTTTGTGGGTTTGTTTTTGTTGTTGTTTTTTGTTGGTTTTGTTTTTTTTTTTTCCGATCCCTGCTGACAGGGATCAGCAAAAGGGGAAGAGGTGCGGAGGGAGGAAAAAAAGTTGCATTCAGTCCAGGAGGCTGCGAGGCTCCCGAGTGTGCGGGGAACTAACTCAAGGAGACGGGGAAGGATGGGGAAGGGTCCACCGCTGGGGAACCGTACAGAGGAAAATCCTGCCAAAAAAAAAAAAAAAAAAAAGAAAAAAACCCCAAAACCAAACAGAAGCCGTCCGGCGTGCATCAAAAGAGTCGCGGCGGCTCCATGTCCAACGCCGTGCAAAGTATAAGTGGGGGCGGAGGGGGGGGTGGGGGGGGGAGAAAAAAAAAAAATAAAAAGAAAAGGGTAGGAATAAGGAGGAGGAGGAGGAGGAAGAGCCGGGGCGGTGCGGGGCAGCGCGGCGAGCAGCCGCCGGGGGAAGGGCTGCGGCGTCGCACTTGTTACGGGCGCTGCCGCCCGCAGCCCTGCGAGCCCGGACGTGCCGCCGCGGCGGCCACGGGGGCGGGGGCCGCGCAGCGGGGGGGGGCGGCGGGAGGAGGAGGAGGAGGAGGAGGAGGAGGAGGAGGAGGAGGAGGAGGAGGAGGAGGAGGAGGAGGAAGAAGGGGAGGCGGAGGGGGAGGAGGAGGAGGGGGAGGGGGAGGGAGGCCGGGCCGGGCCGGGCCGCGCTCGGCAGCCGCCGCCGCAGAGACCCGCCGGGACCCGGGGCGCCCTCTGGCGGCCGCTGGGGGAATGGCCGCGCGCGCGCTGGCGGGGCGCCTGGCCCGTGTCCTGCCCGTTCCGAATGCCCGCACCCCTGTCCACTGCCCGCACCCCTGACCGCACCCCCGACCCCTGCCCGCACCCCTGCCCGCACCCCTGCCCGCACCCCTGCCCGCACCCCTGCCCACTGCCCGCACCCCTGACCGCACCCCTGCCCACTGCCCGCACCCCTGACCGCACCCCCGACCCCTGCCCGCACCCCTGCCCGTTCCGAATGCCCGCACCCCCGACCCCTGACCGCACCCCTGCCCGCACCCCTGCCCACTGCCCGTACCCCTGACCGCACCCCCGACCCCTGCCCGCACCCCTGACCGCACCCCTGCCCGTTCCCCTGCCCATTCCCCTGCCCGTTCCCCTGCCCATACCCCTGCCCGCACCTCTGCCCAATGTCCTGCCCACACCCCTGTCCACTGCCCGTTCCCCTGCCCGTACCCCTGCCCATCCCTGCCCGCACCCCTGACCGTTCCCCTGCCCGCACCCCTGCCCACTGCCCACACCCCTGCCCATTCCCCTGCCCATACCCCTGCCCGCACCCCTGCCCGATGTCCTGCCCGCACCCCTGTCCACTGCCCGTTCCCTGCCCGTTCCCCTGCCCATACCCCTGCCCACTGCCCACACCCCTGCCCACACCCCTGCCCGTTCCCCTGCCCACACCCCTGCCTGCACTCCTGCCCGTTCCCCTGCCCGCACCCCTGCCCAATGTCCTGCCTGTTCCCCTGCCCGCACCCCTGCCCAATGTCCTGCCCGTTCCCCTGCCCATACCCCTGCCCACTGCCCGCACCCCTGCCCACTGCCCGCACCCGTGCCCATATCCTTGCCCACACCCCTGCCCACTCTGAGCCAGGTGCTCTGAAATCAGTCTCACCTCTGCCTCGCTTATTTCTGTGCTGATAAATTGGTAATTATTCTGCTGCTTTGGGGGGTTTTTTTCTTTTTTTCTTGTTCTCCTTCCACTTCCCCAGCACCTCTTCCACCCCCGCCACCCAGGCCATCTCCTCCTCTCTCAGCTCCCTCAAGCCATCGCAGCTGGGTTGTGCCAGTGATTTCAACAGGCCCGTGTGAATGCTCAGGTTAAAGAAACACCACAAAGAGGCTTGTTTTGAACGAGGAAGACAGGACTCTCCCAAACATCCCATTTTGTGCTCGGAAAAAAAAAAAAAAAAAAAAAAAATTAAAGAGGAATCAGAAAACAGAAGCAAGAGACAGAAGACTCAGACCAGACTGAAGGTTTGGACCACACTAGTCAGCCCTGAGGTGAGCAGAACCCTGAGAAGATCCTGCAGTTGAGGATCAGCACCAGCTCTTCCAAAGCGAGAAACCACAGCTCAGGATGCAGGGTCCGAAGCAGCTAAACGGGCTATATTAAACTTGAGGGGGTGGCTGAATGGCAGCCAAAGTACAGCACTGGTTACACATGATGTAACGCAGAAAATCTGAAATTTGGGCTGAAACGTTAAGGAAAAAAGGATTGAGCTCTTCCAACTGCAATCAGGCAGGGAGTGAACTGGATTTAAGAAGTTAAATTGACATTTAGGAGCTCTCCGGCTGTTGTAGGGCAACCTGTGGCAGTTCACAAGTGCTGAATGCTTGGGAGTCGAGCTCCGCGAGCCCGTGCAGCCCTGCAGCAGTGCTGGCTGCTGCTGTCAGGGATGAGAGCGTGCTGGGAAGTTGCTGGATGTACTTGCATGTGGAACTGGGATGGAGGGCACATCGTTGTCCAGGGCCATGGACAGGCAGCCTTCTCCTGCAGGGGAAAAGCACGCAGCTACGGTGGGGGCACTGGCTGTGTCTTCTCTTAAGCGTGAATTTTGGATGAGTGAGAGCCAACAGCTCCAACATTTCCATAAATCGCACCTCGGAGGAAACAGGATTCAAATCCCAGGCAGAAGTCTGCAGCTCGGATGTTCTTCTTCTGGGATACCGGCTTTCATCATGACTTTATGCAAGAATAAGTTAAAATAACCAGCAAACGAATGTGCTCTGCCTGAAATCATTGCTTCGGCTTAATTAGAGCATGTCATGCCTCAGGTCAAACTGTGTTCTCCACAGCAGCAAAAGCATTGCCAGCAGTCGAGGAACCCCAACCTTGTGCATCTTTCTTGGCCACTCTCCTCGTGCTTCTCCTGCAAGTGGAACACACTGAGCTTGCCACACGCATTTCAGTAACTTTTCAGCTGCTGGAAAAAGCACACGTTCGGTAGGAAATTAAAGCCAAGGTGCTCAGACAAGTAACTGACTGAGTTACTTTCCACTGGTGAGGCACGAGTCGTCTGGAAATACCTTCATTACCTGCCTTCTGCACATGAGTCGTTTCTCTCTAGAAACTACCCAGGCCAGACTTCGGGGCAAGGGCCCTGGGGAAGGCACTCTGCCACCCCACTGCTCACAACGGACTGGTCTGGCTCCACCATCCTCACCATTCCCTGCTCTCCAGGGCTCTCCCCTGTTGCCATCCCCAGGAGCTTTCACACACCAAATCCTCCTCTCTGGCTTTATAAGACATCCATTTCTGCTAAAACTCTACTTCAGGAACTTGTCACTGTTTCCCCGGGACTTGCCTCTGCTGTTCTATTGTTTTGCTCATATTTTGGTCTCTTCTTTTTCCTCGCTTTCTCTGTGACCTGCCCTATCTCTGTTTTCAGCAGCATCATCACTACTTCTGCATAGTGATTATAGCCTGAGTGTTCAATACAGCTCTCGCAATGATGATTTTCTTATTGGTGGTCAGACACCTCCCTGCTCGGAACTCCCACAGATGCACAAAGGGATTTTCTCTGAACAGCATTGATCCATCTTCTATTCTCAACAAGTGTTCTGCAATGTGAGGTAACTGCATGGCAAGTTGCACCTTGTCCATTATCATGAAGGTTAAAATAGAGCAGTCTGTATCGAAAGGGAAAAGACTATGTGCAGAAGGCGTTTGTAGTTGTGATTCTCCCTTTTCCTTTCCTGGGACACTCCAACATGCAATTCCATAATTCCGCAGTGCCACACAACACTGTTCTCAGTGTGAGCTCCAAGTGGCTCTTTACAACCTGTTTCTAAAAACTGCCCTTCCAAAATCAGTCTTTCCTTGAGTGTCTCCTCATGTAGCAGAAACACTTTTCATCCTGCAAAGCCTATTTTTACAAATACAAAAAATCTTTAGCTCTAAATACAGATTTGGCTCCAAGGAAATAACAAGCTGAGCAAACGCAGACTTCTGTTTTAAACAGAACCAAGACTTCTGCCAGTATGTGGCCAAGACCCTTTCTATTTGAACACACAGAGCAACATATGGTGATAATCTTACTTACAACTTGTAACTGCATTGAGATGGGAGTTTCTCTCTGAGATTCTACTAGCTCTTTGGGGAGCAGATCTTTTCCTAAGAAAAAGCACGATTGACTTCAAAGCGCAGGGAACATCTGCAGGTGCAAGTCTGTGTGACCAAGAATACCACAAAGTGGACTGGAATCTATCACCCAACACATGATTTTATGTGTTGTGTGAAACATGAAGAGCAAAATGTGGTCTAGGTGAAGCAGGTAAATTTTCTAATTTATAAAAAAGACATATAAAATTTGGATTGGGCAGCCTAAGGCCAAAGAGTAATCAGGACTGTTGGTACAACCATGCTATTACAGCTCAGGTGTTTCAAGGTGTCACTGAAAGTTTTGGCATTGCAGTTTGCAAACTCCATATCCTGGTTTTCTATTTAGCTTTTGCATGTATTCTGGTTGTGAAAACACAATAAGTCTTGCTGGACTGCATATGAGAGTAAACAATGAGCAAAGACAGAGTATTAGAAGCAGCCGATCTCTCTCAAGGAGTTCAGCAGAGTTATATGGCAATTGTGTACTTTTTCCATATTCTGAGGGAATGTTAGTGGAGGACAAACAGAACGGATGTGAACCCAGCAGAAAATAAGCAAGTGCTGTGCTTTCTTCTGACATGTGATCTCTCTTATTTTTGCCTTGAGCTTCTCCAGGAACAGACTGCCAATTGCACTGCGCCGCATACTGGGAGTTTATGAGCTTCACAAATGGGTGAGCAGGTTTTCACCACTAAGCTCATTTTTTTGCTTTCAATCTGAATGCAGATCCTGAGGGATAAAAGGCTGATGTGTGCCTTAAAACAAACAAGCTCCACATCAGTGGCAGTAAGCATCACCAGTCTTTCAGGAAGTTAAGGGGACAGAGAGACCCGTAAGGCCAAATCTGGGTTTTAGGACAAACAACTGCCCAGTCAGTCACTGCATCCTGCTGTGGTAAGATAAGCAACAACTGCCTGAGTTTCTCAGCTGCCCTCTTCCCCTAGGCTATGGAAAAGTCTTGCTCTACAACCTACAGCCCCAGAGCCAAGCCCTGGGAAAGGTCTTCGAGTCAGATCCTAAAAATTGCAGTGGATCCTGCAATGGAGATTAAAAATCAGCCTTGGGTTTGCTTTCAGGCTTATTGCCGACAGGCTTTTTTGCATATACATTTTCTCTAGTAAAACGTGTTGCCTTCCTCAGCCAAAACCCATCCCTTCTGCTGTGCCAGAAAAAACCTGGAGATTCATGGGC